GTGTGTTTCTGTGAGCGCGCTGTTTACATGTGTCCATCAGCAGCCAGAGGCCCTGCAGCCATGCCCCCTTGTCTGAGCAGAATGTATGTGTGTCAACAGGCTCAGGACGATAAAGGGGATGTATTGTGAGAGCTATATGTTTGGGAGAGAGTATGGATGTAGGGATCAGGGCCTGTGTTTATTGGTTTTCGGCAAAGACTGCCTGAGTGTGACCCTGGGTCAGTGTGCTGGCCCGGGCCAACCTAGGTTAGCTCTGTCGGGCTCTGGGTCACACTAGGCCTCTTTGTATACCCTCTAAATTCAGGCTTGTCCTGGTTGTCAACCAACTGAATACCATACTGCGAAGACACCATGTTTGTCCGTTTGGGTCAAATGTCCATTTCTTTCTGAGAGTGCTTGACCAATATGTAATCCTGACATAATATCCCATTCACTATTGTGTTCATGCTTGACCTACTATATTATATAAAACAGACTCTCTTTTGTATGGCATGTTATTTTTGGATAATATATCGTTTGCCAGAGCCAAACAGAGCAAGGTCTAACATCAGTGACCTCATCTATTCTGTGACCACCCTTACATCACACTCTTGGAGCCACTCTGTCTCATGGTGAGGTAGGTGTTATCTGTTGACCAACAGATTACCATATAACTCAATGCTGTCTTCAGATTTTAGCTGCACTGATAGTGTTATTGAGAACAGACTCATTGAAAGTGCATTAAGACACGCTTTGCACAGTGCCTGACTTGTGCTCACACACACATACATTGGTACCTCAGCAGGGGTAGGGTGCATTAAAACTCAAATGGAGATATGAGCAGGAAATCAACAGCAGATGTGGTTGTAAAGTAATGCAGATGGAGGCAGGGAAACCCTCTTACTAGGACACTAAGTCCACCTCCTGCCTTTTGGTGTGGCAAGCCTGAAAGAGAATCACTTTGAACCATGACACTGCTGTGCAACTGCAGAGCAGCGAGTGATCTCATCCTTAGAAAGTCTGTCTCTGATGCAGCATGTGATAATACCTTAGTAAGTGAGTGGATTGCTGCATTTTATTATATTGTGAGTAATATTCCATGCAAACCCACTTTGCTGTTTCCAGAAGCATAAAACACCTAACTTCATTTGCTCCAGTGGATGTGTTGTGATACAGACAGGACTGACGTTTTTTCTATTGCAGCAGCGAAATGTTTAAAGTTTAATGATGTAGACTCTGTCAGAAATTGGGTGTTGTGAATTTGTTTTTGCTTAATGAAATCAATGTTTTACTTTTTTTTTTGACAACCTGGGGATATAAAGGAGGCTTCTTGTTGATTTTCCTTTTTTTAATAAAAGTTCTCTCCACTCTGAACATAGCAAATTCATTTGTCTGCTTCTTCGTCAGGCTGGGAGGAAGAAAAGAAACAGAAGGCAAAAGAGGTGTAGATTTTCATGAGGATTCCTTGGCTGCAGTGAAGCACTCCATTTATGGGTCTGATTAATTGCTTTTCATATAAATCATAGGTATGGGCCTGGGGCTTTGCTCCCTATCTTGAGGTGTGTGAGAAACCAAGACAGAAATGGGGGAAAGGTTGCAAAAAGAAAGAGAGACAAGGTGACAGTGTTTGAGTGACTGAGTTGGTAATAAAGTTCACTCTGACAGCAGGGCCTCTGCTATCTGTATGTGTGTAAAGTCTGTGTGGCCTGAAAAGAATGAGTGATGCCGTGTCACTGAGGGGCTTGCAGTGATAATAGATCTGCAAAATATTGTGTAACTCTATGTCAAGCCCTGTGGAGATATGTGTTTATTTAGTTTAGATGATTGAGGCTGTGTAATTGTTTACACTGGGGCAGCTTGTTATTCAAATGAGGTTGAGTAATTTTCCTCTCTGCCTTGTTAAAGTTCAGTTTATTGGGAAACCTGCACTGTAGCAGATTGCTTTCCTGTAACCAGTGACCCCTGCACATTAATTAACAAGCATGCTGCAAAACAACAGATTAAAATGACTGAGAGACTTCTCTCACTTGTAAATGTTCAGTCTTCATTTTGTTGGAGTTCTTCCCCTTTATGTGACTACTGTTAAATGCAGTTCTAAATTTCTCCACTCATCTGTCTGTTTTCTCTCATCTCAATCCCCTCTGTATCTCTTTCCAAGCCCTCCTTTTTCATCCTTGGCTTGGAGCATCCTCCCTGAGTGCGGGGCCCCTCCATCCTGGCACTCAGACTGCTCCTATCGCTTCCATCAGCTCGCCTCAGTCCATGTCTCGGTGACGTTAAATACCATCCCTTTGCTCATCTGCACCTAATTTTCTCTCATCACTCTCTGTCTCCCTCCTATCTCCTGCTCATTTCCCACACCTCTGATGGCAGCCAAGTCTATCCGCTGAAGTTTGCACATGCTTCCTTCTTTCCACACTAGTTCTTTTTTTTTGTATCCTCCATCTCTCTTTCTGTCTCTCTAAATGAGCCTTTCAGAGATTGTCAGTCATCGGCATCACCTCTGTATCCGCCTGAGCACGGAGACGAGCGAAGGATAGAGGGATGGTGACTGATTGGTTTGTGTGGGAGAATTTAAGCAGTTACAAAGGGAGTAACAGGGCCTCTGAAGACAGGAGGACCGACCAAAAAAGATTTTCTTCATATGGGAAGCCCTATTCTGGGCCACCACAGGCATCTGTCAAGCAAAAAACATACATCTACACACACACACACACACACACACAAATCTTATCACATGGCTTTCTGGCAATTTACAGAGTCCCGACGTCCCTTTCTGTGGCCTCTTTACGCCACGTGCTGAGCTAACAGCCACTCAGGAACATAGATTTGTAATAATAGGCCATTTTAGTTCCAGCTATTAGATTGGTTGTTGCACTCCGCAGTCAGGCTTCTCTCTCTCAAGAATCTTAAGTTTCAGGAAACCATTGCTGCATTCTCTGCTGGTATGAGTAACCGTTAGATAAAGAGATGGATATTGCGAGCGAGCTGATGCAGAAGCCGAAAACGCAAAGCTGAGAGCGAGCCAAGGAAGCTGCAGGGATTGCTGTGAATTACAGGGCTTTCGAGCCAACCTGTGGAAGCAAAAATAAGAGGGAAGATAAAGCAAGTCAGTGGCAAGCTCAGTCTTCACATCCAATCCAATAAATAAAAAAAGTTGACAGATAAGTGGTGGCAAACCAAGCTTTTCTTTTGCTTCTTTCTTCGTTTCTCTCTCGTCTGTCCAGACCACTAATAGCTGTGTCCTCTCATACTCTTCATCCTTTCTCCTTTTCAGGGGGGGAATTGAGGAATTGTGCCTGCGCCATGACCAGACTCGGTGTCTCATTTTGGTCAGATAGGCCTCTCTGTCTGAAACTTTTACAGCACAGGGTTGTGTATATCATTTTGAAATGTAAACACAAAATACAGGCTTGCAGAAATCCAGAATCTACTTTATTATTTTTATGAATACACGCTGGTACAAGCTGCAGGCACAAAAACACAGCTCCTTTTCTGTACTGCATAATAATCCACTGGCCCGTTCTTATATGTTTTCATTCTTCCATCTCTCACTTTTTTAAAACTTTCAAGCTGCCTCTATTCACACCTCTGTTTCTTCCTCTGCCTGTGCTTCTACGCATTCAGGTTGAGTTGCAGTGTCAGGGTGCAGAGGCCTGTAGCAGGAAGTATGCATGTCTGCTGCCAGGCAGGTGTGTCTTCTGCATATAGAGGTGTGTCTCAATATTGTGTTGAAGGAGCCTTTAGAGGTGAGGTAGAGTGTGAGAGTGTCAAGCTAATTGTGCTGACAGTTGTAGAAGGCAGCATCTGATGAGTTGGTGTGTCCACTGCAGCTACGAATGCGTAGGATTCCACGTCCATCCATCTGTTCGCAGAAGCACTTAAAGCTTTTGCTTATTCTAAATTCCTTTTTCTCTTTACTACATATATGTTGGTGTTGACATTTACATTTTTTTTGCTCGAGTGGGTGAATTCAGTGGTTTTTTCCCCCCTTTTAGTTATTGTGTGGCAGACACAGATGCACCTTGAAAGTAGTGTTTACCGATCAGTGTATTCCACAAATTCTTCATTTTTTTCTCTCTTTTTTTTTTTAAAGTGATGAAGTAGCCCAGTCCATACACTTATATTTTCCATATAGGCCCGCTGACAGACAGCTCGTGGTCAGAGAGCTTGTGTAACAATATTTTCCAGGGATGGTATTTCCTTTGTCTTGCTTATTTTGAATTCTTTACGACGACTGTGTTTTTCTGTTCTAAGTTTAATCACTCAGCACTTTCTGACCTCAACTGTGTATGTAAAGTATGTTCCTTAAATGCTCAAGTCTTTGTCCTACAGTTTAATGCCATATAAACTACAAATGTTGTTGTGTGTGTGTGTGTTGCGAGCCTTGCGAGCCTTCTACAGGCGACTGCTTGTTTACAGAGCTTTCTCAGCAGTTTGTATTTGTTTGGCGCAGTGTGATAGAACACAGATCCCTGATAATGGAGTCTCCTTCTCCTCCTCTCATTTTTCTGTTCATTCAGCCTCTTAGTCGTTTTTTTTTTTCTCGCGCTTTTTTTCCGTGCCTTGCAGCTGTTTTTGTTCAGCTTGGTTTACTTTACATCCAAAATGTTAGGTCAAATACAGACTTGCACCCATTTCACAAGCATACAATACAATATGCTGGTGTGTTTACATTTCCTGCTCAGCGCTGCAGACAGTGCAACGCTCCTGACACAGAGAAGCACTGCTCAAACAAAGAACCTTAACAAAGTTTGATCCGAGTCTCAACCCTCATCTTGACCCCAGGGTTCAGTTTACAACATGTCAAAGTGTTGACTTGATAGTGTCACAACTGCTGTGGTGTTGCTGTGGTTGCAACTAATATTGAAGTTTTTAAGTCAATTACTTAAACTAGGTGTGAGAAATGGTAAAGATCTTAAGCAATTTAATTTCTGGCAATATTAAGAAATAGTTGGAAATTCTTCAACATGTAGGCATTGTTAATCTCTTACTCTTTCTGTCTCTTTCTTATTCCCCAGGGTCAGTACAGGCCTTCAGACCTCCTGTGCCCAGAAACCTTTGTCTGGGTACCGATAGAGCGATGCCTACCCCAGCTTGAGAACTCCCGCTATGCTCGTTTCAACCAGGATCCTGATGCAGGTACAACTAAAAATACTCCCTCCAACTCCACTGTTATCACACGTGTTTAAACCGATGAACCCTTAAGCAGCTTCAGGGCGTTTTTTGCTCCTGTCACATGTCGGCTCATTTTTACCTACAACATAGAGTCCTGCGCCTCTATGGAAACAGCACAACCATGGCTACAAGTAGAGGGGGCTCAAAAATGTACAACATTTTTCCAAGTACTCACAGGTGTTACCAGTACTGGGAAAAAAATGGTGGTTCTGCATACCATAGATGTTTTACTACTTGCATTTCTTTTTTACAACTTCTATAAACTAGCTGATTTTGCACTACTCTGCACATCAATTCTAGACAGATATTTCACCATGCTGACAACTTGCTCCTCTGTATACCATTTTTGAACCATGCTACATTTGTTTTGTTGATCAAGTATGTTTTATTTTTTCTCACAATCTCTCTTTCCATCACCTTTCTGCTCTGTGTAAACACAGCCTTCAGTTTGCCTGAAATGTAACTTGAATTTTTGTCACGACTTTTGGTCATAGAGGAATCACTCATGGCTTCTTGCTTGCTCTGAGGAGAGCAGAATCTTTTTTTTCTTTCAGGATGTAGTGCGACAGTTTATTTTTGGTGAGGTGATTTTGAATAAATTTTGTGATTTTTAATTGGAGGACCATCTGACTACTGAAAATGTATTGATTCTTTCTGTTTTCACAGTTTCTGACTCTGATAAATGGTGCAATTTTGGGAATTTGTTTTAAAACAAAAGTTATGTCTTTTAAACCAACAGGTGGATCTAAGGTTTAGATAGTTAATGCAACAAAAGGAACAGCATGTTTCCCTTAGATTTGCATGCATTTCTAACATTACAAGCATACTGACCTGCCACGGCGAGCTTCCTTTTTTTTTCTTGTACGTGCTCTTCTGGACGAACCTATAAACTTTGTATTAGCATCTGATCAGGTTGCACTGTGATGATGTATTGAAATCTGTGGGTTTTCTTCAAAGCAGCGCACAGTTGCTGAACAGGGGTAAACAGGGGGGCCTTCCCCATGATCCTTTAGCCTGGCCAGAGTAGAGCCAACTTTGTCATTATGGTAGAACCTTGTTGTCATTAGGTGAATTGTGATACCAGTGGTAATAAACCACACACAGAAGGTAGACTGGCAGACACCCATCGCCTGACCTGGCCGAATGAGAGATGAGGACCATAATGTTTAATAATAGTTTAATACGTGTGTTTGAAAGTTTTGAAAACAGAGGTTTTCGAATTATTTGAGGTGCATAGCCAGGAGGACTCATACATTTTATGCCTCATTATTTTTTAAGTCTGCTTCTGCTTCCTCTCCTGTGATGGGTTTACCTGTCTGTGCACATTTCATTTAGACTGACACAGTCCAGTGGGTATACTGCTTAGCTTTAAAAGGCAAACGTACCAATCTAATATGTTTACTATACACTGTATTACAGAAAATGTTGTAGAAAAAGGATTGGTGGCATGTGTAAGAGTTGTGCTTGTAGCTAAATATGCATACATAATCTGAGTTGTTGAGTGTACAGAGGCCAGCCATCTCCGGTTCACTCTTCCTCATTAATCTGCATCACCAAACAGGCACCAGACAGGAAAGAGCCACTGATCAACAGTAATTGGATATGTGAGAGGACAAGAATTTGATTGTCAAATAGACCAGGACTGATACATCGGGAGTAAGAGAGGCAGTAATAGACAGAGGAAGAGACGGGGGGGACATGCGATAAAAATGTTTTTATGGCAAAGGGAAATGAAATGGTTGTATGCTGGCACCAGAAGAGAGAGAAGTACAGTAAAATGGAAGACAGATTGATGTGGAGTTGAAGGAGGAAGGAGGAATGTATGGATGTGGAGAGACAGAAGTAAGACTTTGTTGTAGTGAGGTCATTCTTGGGCTCTGTGCCATGCAGAGAGGTTAAAACCGATGCAATTGATGAACTTCAAAGTAAAACTGTTCTCCTGCTCAGAGCAAATCACCCACATTCCTCTTTCCTTTGTCCCTTGTATCGGGAATCAGATTGTGTGACGAGGTGAAGTTAGTGGGCATTGAGTTCACTCATTGCTGATTTACCCGCTTGCTTTAGTCGTTAAATTAAATGTTGGTGAAAGCACCACACCCATGAGAAATAAGGGCATTTAAAAGACCATTAGTTGGCTGCTCATTTACAACACTTTGATTAACAGCTTAGCCAGTGGTAGGTCTGACCTTTTCTTGTCAATCTTGCCACTAATCCCTGAGTAGGCACAAATTACTGAGGACAAAATAGAGGTCTCACAGTTGGCAAGTTTCACTGTGGCCAGTGTATGTTTGTGTGTCTGTGGTTCTTGTGGTGCCTCCATTCCTGAGTGGACTGTTGATCTTGGACAGGGCTGGGCATTATTTCAGGCCTAGCTGTCCAAACGCAGTGTCATTACATTTCAGGGCTAGCTGTCTTGATGGTTAACTCTCAGGTCTGTTGCCAAGCTATGTGGCTGAACTGCGAATAAAGAGGTTCTATGCCAGACTAATGGTCGTATGGAGGTTTCTGTCTCCTCCAAAAACAACAGCCAGTGGTCAGCCAGTCACCAGGTCAGTCTGCCCCGTGTCACTGTCAGTGTAGTAGCATGGCACGCTGTCAGTATCTGTGGCCGAGCCCTAATTTGCAGTTTGTTAATGTGTGGCTTGTTTTTGGCCCAAGTAAAGGCATGTTGAAATGTACTTTAAAGTCCTGGGGAAGTCCTGACTGTATGCAGTTATGTGGGAATCTTCCTTGTGTCTTTTAGGAACTAACTATCCGTTGCAGTTTGATTAATTTAGCAGTAGTGGGCACAAAATTCAAATATTGGTAATTATGGCAGTTTGTACTCTGATTGCCTTACTGTGGATGAATGAAGAGTGGCAAACTATGTCTACTCTTTAACAACTTTGGTGTAGTTGGGGTATCGAGGTATGAACACAGGACCTCTGGAGGTAATCTGTTACTTACTAATATTAAAATTATGCTTTATTTGTTCATTGATTAGAATATGAAATGCTTTTTAAGTTTTGCTAGTAGTTTATGGAATGAATTTGACTTGTCTTAATATTTTTTGTATCTATGAGAGTTAGTGGTGAGCTGTCAAAATTGAATCTAACCAAAATAACAATTACTCACACAATCTCCAGTCTTGGCACAAGATGACAATAAAGCTTTCCATTCTTGAACCTGAACCTGAAAACAAGGTTTCTTGGTCAAAATGTAAAAATGATCAAAATGGCAACAAATATTAATTTTCACTAAAACTTTCAGCAAAACCTTCTTCCAACTCTGTCTTGTTGTAAGGTGCTACCTCAGACTCCCAGCCTTACCCAAGCTCACTCGTGTGCTGGGTGAGCACTCAGACTGTAAGGGTGACCTGGTTACAGTACTGTCCTAATGAGGTGTGTAAAGACGACTAATGTAAAGTTTACACTACTCACTCTACAACAGACTTACATTGATTACATGCCTGCTGCAGACACATCGCGGGCCCAAGGGTCTCGTTGAGGCTCCTCACAAATGTACATGACATGTGTGCATACTCAGACACATGCACTGCGAACAGCACATATGTAGTATCTCTCGCACACTTAAAATCAGTGTTTGCTTGACAGAGAGAGAAGTAGGGGCATTGGCCGCTGAGCAGTATAAACATTTGCAAAAATGTGAGACCCAAGTACTCACCCTCTGGACCTTAAGTGCGTCTGGCAGGCGCCAACCCACATGTACTTACTTCTGTATCGCATACAGGCACTTATATAAAGTTGTAGTTCATAAAATGTCATCTGATATTTGTTTTCTCGTCCTCTTGACTTCTTTTACATCTCTGACAGGCACATGCTCTCGTTATATGAAGCTGATTGACTTCAATCCACACTATCTGTGCTTTCAGCCCAGCAAAGTTGGTTTGAGATAAAGCGCTACCCTGATAGCACCCATCCATTACCCCCAAGCCTCTTGCCTTCTTCACTTTATTTTTTTTACATTTTTATTTCACCTTTATTTAACCAGGAAAAGGCTGATTGAGATTAAAAATCTAATTTTCAAGAGTGTGCTGGCCAAGACAGGCAGCAGCACAACTGACAGACAGACAAGGTCACAATAGCATCCACACAGACATCATTACTCATAATACATGGTGAGAGTACATTTAGAAGATAAGGAATCAACATAGCAGCTTTCTAGCTCTTACATTATACACTTTCATATCTTGTTTCACTGTCAGAGCCACTCTTCACTTTCTCTTCACTAGGCTTTGTGCTCCTCAGCCTTGACAGATGCTAATGTTCCTATACAGGATAGAGCAAAGATTGCATTCCTCTGTTTTCTGTTTTCTAATGCACAATATAGGTTTTTTTTTTTTTTTTTTTTTAAACCAACTCTCATGCACTTTTACTTCTAAAGAATGTTTCCCTCATTTTAATGACAATAATAGCGATAGTATCCTTTGTAACCAAAGGAAGTTCTCTTATTGCCTTCTTTACTTTGGAGGTCAGAATTCACGGTCAGCTACAAAGATTCAAGGTCTCGCTGCGAACACAAGGGCTTGAACCCAGGTCTTGCAGTCAAAGAGGAGTCTTCTCACATGCTACAACACCATTTTGGCCTTTCTCTTTTCAAACTTAAGCCCTATTTGGGATTTGCGACATTGGGTCACAGGATGTGGTCATAACCTGATGGCCTACCTTTGACTAGCATCCGGTGTTAAGCATGTGTTTAGAAATTTTGAGATGGATAGGAAGAGAGAGTGGAACGTGGCGAAGTGTCAAGGACTGCATCCTCAGCCCTGACCCTCTCACTCCCTGACCGACCCTGACCACTCCTCCTCCCCCTGACCCTTAATCTTCAACGCGAAGGGGCTGTGACCTCAGAGCAGCGTGTCACTGAACGTCCGGTGGGCCTGACAGCAACGGGGTCTGGAGCTGCTCAAAATGAGAAGAGGCACTGAAGTGAATGAAGAAGAAAAGGAAAGTTGTTTATGAGAGGAGCGGATGTTTGGATTGCCTTGAGTAAGAGAGAAAGATGGGGCCTCTGCTCAGCATTACTGCTGCAGTTAATAGACCATCTTGAAACTACACGATATTGTCCACTGTGTTCTGTAAAATGTTCACTCCTTAATATCTTCACAAGGCAACAGTGTTGCACAAGTATAAGTGGGCTGTCTCCCTGATGAAGAACACAGGGAGACACGTAGTCCACAGCCTGAAGGAAACTTACGTTGGGAAACATCAGACGTTTAAACACTTTCACTTTCATCCCATCAAGAAACATTAATTCTTCATGCACCAAAATGTTGTGCAAGTTACATAACATGTTTACATCTTTTAAAATCTATTTCCCCCCCACATGGTGAGACTTAACATACTGCTGATTTTCCTCATTTAAAAGTTTATATCAACCATTCTTCAATTATGTGACTCAGCAGTTTTTTGAGACGAGGGGGAAAACATGGTGGTTAGGGCATTACTGAGCAGGGAAATGAGACTAATACATAAAACATGAATCCACAGTGTGGTTTCAAAATTGTAGCTGAAGTATGAAAATATCTTTATGGAGATGGGGGTGTGAGAGCTAAGGAGCCTCAGGGCTTCATGCTTATACCCAGCTCTCTTCTTTCTTTTGGCTTGCTTTTCTGGTAGTGTCTGTGCAAGTAGAAACATAGTTGGGACATTCATCTACTGCATGTCTACATAAACATGGTAGGATCTTAAAATTTGAAAAATTCAGACTCTGCTTTTAAAAATCAAAAGGTGTACCTCGTTTAAATTTGGCTGACATCCCCATTAAAGTAGTCTTCTTGTGCAGTGATTCACCCCGCAATGCCAGAATAGTATCAGAACTTTTTGATCATCCTTCGTACATTGCCCCTAGCAAGTTGATCACATCCAAGGTCCAGTCGGAGTGCCTTTGAGGTCTTTGTAAAAAAAATAAGGTTCGCTTTTAGAGAAAAGATGTTTGCAGCATCAATGTTTTTTCTCTCCACTTTCTTGTTTTTTCAGTTGTTGGGGAGATTAGGTTGGATTTGGCAGAACTATGGCGAATGTTTTAGGAAATGAGCAGAAATATGTGCACTCACATTATTAGTACCACCTGAGCCCTCAGCTGTTAGCCACATGGATGTTGTCGGGGAGGACTGGTGGTGGTGAAAGGGAAGCCCTGAGCTCCGTTAATACCACATCTAACTGGCTCCTGTTTGACTGATGTGTCGCCATTGGCCTGGCAAGTGAGGCCTCTCCACCCTGCCACCTGGCCTGAAGTTTATTTTCATCTTCTTGGATAGGCCACATCAGGCTCGCTTCACACAATAGAGGCTGAATGGATGAAGTATTGTGTTGAGTATGGAGGCGATTTGTATTTTACATGGAAAGATGTGCATCTTGTGTTATAGGCTTATGCAGTCGGTGAAACAGCAGAATTCTTGGAAAGATGAGCTAATGAGATATTTAAAAACATTTTAGGAGCTATTAGAGTGACCAGAGAGCTGACTATTTAAGAAGTTTTAAAACTATTAAGAAGACTTATATTGCACATAGTGTTTTCATCAAACTGAGTCTCTGACAGATCCTCCTGCCAACATCGGTACCAGAAACTGCTGCTACTGATGGAACTGCCGCTGTGTGTACCACAGTAAACAAGCATTTTATCAGTTTCATACATCCCATCCCTGAACATAATCCCCCTGTCTAAAATGAGTGCTCCATATGACCGCATTTTTTGTTGCAGATGAAGAAGTGAATCCTGACTCTTCGCCTGCACAGAATGCAAACAGGCACGAAAGCTGGTTCTGCAGTGGACTCAATGTCCTGACAGGCTGGAGTTTGTGCAACCGGCAACAATGAGGAAATCGCAATGAGGAAAAATAGTGAAATGTGACATAACTGTAGCAAAAAAGGCAAACTCACTAAATCAGTCACTTTGACTCATTACACATACTGTTGCACAGTGTGCTGAGGCAGAATTGACTCCTTTTTATGAAAAAGTATGACATTTGTTAAGAGTGCTGTTCAAAAAATTGATTTTTAGCTGAATTTCTGCCTTTATGTCTTATAAAACATATAATAAATCGTTATGTTCCAATGATGGCAACAAAAAGGCCTTTCTTTTTAAATATATATTTTTAATGCCTTCTTTTAAGGAGTCGTAGTGGGGTGATACATGAATTGTGCAGAAAGAGAGCAGAGGAATGACATGCAGCTTGCTGGAAAGCAGAACCAGAGACTCGCTGCTCCAGGCGTTCTTGCCCATGTGGTATGCACCCTAGCCACTAGGCTAACACGTCGCTCCGAGTCTTTATTTTCTGTCCAGAATGGGAAGTCGCTGAGTGCTCACCTTGGGTTTTTGGACCTGCTTGCATTCATACCTGTGTACAGTATATTTGGGTTAGGTTGGCCCGGTTTTTGCTCCCTGCTGCGCTACCCCTTGCATGTCCTCTTGGCGCCAGCTGTGGGCAGCTTGGCTCAGCCTCTCACTCCTGGAGGCTGCGGTTTCTGCGTCAGAGCGAGGGTCAACATTTTTCACCCTTTTTTCCATCCGACTCTCCAGAGGACCGTTCCTAGCTTCTGAACACACACTTTTGAGATTAGCGCTGTTTTTACTGGTCTGATGGGAGCTGGCAGTGTATGACACGGGATCTAATGAGATGCTGAGTTTGGCAAGGCAGCAGGGAGCAAGGCCCTGTAAACAAGGCCAACTAACTAGCCTGCTCACGCACCACCATGACTCCAGGTTTAGGGCATGGGGGAATTAGATCTGAGGGGGGAAAATGCTTTCTGCTCCTCCAACAACTTCTCGGAATAATGGTGTAACCCTGCCAAGTCACTCAAAGGTTAACTCAAATGAGCGAGGGGAAATAGGGACACTGTTTATTGTGCGTGATGTGTCTCCACTGGTCCTTATTGTATCCTCATATGTGCCTGTCTAGGAGATGCTCGGGTGCTGAAGGATGTGGGCCGAGCTCTGGTGCTATACAGACGAACCGTCATGCCCTATGCAGCCTACTCCCGCAAACGCAAGGGCTCCAGCGACGAGACGGAGGTGCAGCAGTACGCCGGCTTGGTTGGCCAGGACTGTGCCGAAAGGATCTTGCTCTTTCGCTCCTAAATGTGCAGTGTCACACCACTGCACCTTTTAATACACGTAAATACACACTGTCTGTTTCTGTTTAAATATGTCTGCGTGTCTCCTCACTGTCTATGAAAGTGCTTTCTGCTGCCTCTCCCTGTAGTCTCACCACATGCACTACACGTACTGGAACAATGCAGTAGCCAGTTACTATCTACTGCATATATGTATGTAGCCATTCACCCACTGGCCTCATTCACACTTATTTTATGAGTTCAATTTTAATAGTCAGTGAATCCTGCTGCATCAGTATATATTTTTTGCGCATCCCATCACTGGCTTGCTACAGGGACCAGTCCCCTGAATGTTATTTTCATATCTTGTATCCATACTTTAGATTTTTTTTTTTTTGCACCATCTTTAATTTTGTATGCTTAAGTATATGCTGTTTAATTAGTTTCAGAACTTGTGCATATAAAAAAATGAGGGGAGGTGCACGTGATATGAGTGCAGAAAACAATATCTGCAAGTGGAAAACCCCCTTTGCAAAGAAGCATTTCTAGTGAAGCACAGAACGGTATTCATGGGCAGAAAAGCCTCCCCACGCGCTTGAACTCATATATTTGACTTAAATAAAAACTACAGTGTAGAAATACTCGAATAGGTAAAAGTCCTGCATTCAATTTTTTACACAAGTAAAAGTGCAAAAGTGTTATCATTGAAATATTGTACTTTCCAACAATAATCAGAACTTATTTGTTAATTATATTTTGTTCTTTAAAAAAAATGCAATCTTTGTTTCTGAATTATAGTACAATAGAAGTATACAATATCAGAAGAAGGAAATACTTAAGTAAAATACAAGTACCCTAAAATTGTACTTAACTACAGTACTTGAGTATACGTGCATAGTCACTTTACTCCACTCTGCTCTGACTTGTTTGTATAAATCACTGAGCATGCTTTGGATCTTGAATGACATTTATGACAGCCCCCTTCATGATGGAAGGCAAGTACACGTTTATTACACTTAGTGTTTAATGTGTTTTATAAATGGTGGGAAACCGCATTCTAGCATGTTCAATTATAATATTTCCCTTTACCTTGAAGCAAGAAATTTTCATGACTCTAGGAAGCTGTGGGGTCCTGCAGGGCTCCACTATTTTGGATTGATAATAACAAGAAAAGCTGGTGTTTAACACCATTTGATTTATTAGTCAGTAACAATCATTACAACTCATGCCGCCAATCAAGAGCAGTTATCGGTCGCTGTCTCTGCCTACAAATTCTCCAAACTCAATTTGACGAGTGAGCAGGTGAAGTTGCGAGTGCATGGTGAGCGATGTGCTTTATTTCACATACTTCATTTCTCTTCCACATACTGTTCTGTGCTCCTATCATGTTCACGTCCCCATTTTGTTTTCCTATGTGCACGGTTTGTGAGATCACTCAGCACCATATACGTTCTGATGTTATTAAAGAGCATCTAGCTACACGCAACGGACAGCTCTCCTCTTAACTGACACGGGTTTGAATTACGTCAGCATCGCCACTTAAAGAGCATGTTCTGAATGTACAGTGATTTTGAAGGTGGTTTTCACTTGCTTGCATTACATCCCAACACCTCAAGCTGACTCAAACAATACCACAACATTGTGAAGAAGTTATCACTCGAGTCTCTGTGAAGCAAAGCCACAGTTTTCAATGTTTTTTTGTTATATTTATAGTTATGTGTGCTTTTGTTTTAATATCGACACTGTTATTTTTGGTTAAACCAAATAAAGGGGTTATATAGTCTCTCTGCTCAGAGTTGCTGGCTTTTTTAATTAAGCAACACAACCCTGATTCCACTGGCAAAGGGATTTTGGAAACATGGAAATAATATGTCAAGAGTCTCCTTTGCTGGCACAAGTGGTGTAACTTTTCACACATACAGTAGTAAGTATATATCTTCCAAAACACATGCACACTCAGAGATAAGTGCTTTAGTTGGACTTGTTGAATATGAACAAGTAACAGGTGTTAGATATACGAGCTGGCAGAACACAAATTTGAATGGCTTCCTGCCCCCAAGCAGAGTGTCAACAGCAGCCCAGCTCACAGCCAGGACAGGACTCGGTTGAGCTCTTGTTAGCAGCCAGACTTCTGCTCTTAAAGCACAGATACATTATATGTGCTTTTAATTATGCAAGAAGCATGGTCTTGGCAGAAACGTGGCATCTTAAAGCTACTTCTATAAACTTTGGTGTTATCACGACTTGGATTTTAATCAGAAACTCTACTAGGCATCAGAGACGTTAATGCCGTTGGTGAAGTGAAGCTTCCTGTTGGGGCTTCCCGTCCTCTCAGGCTCAATTGTTAGAACCAGATTAATACAGTTTATAATTTGCACCCTTTATTCATTTATCTTCTTCTTGTCAAGTCACAAATGAGTAAAATCTGAACACAGATATGTACACAGTCAGCCTAACTCAATCCTCCATTATTTGTTTTTTTCTTGAGAAATCCATATGTATTAATAATGAAGGCAAAACTGGACTAAAAGTTTGGAATTAAAAGTTTCATGAGACGTTTCTGACCACCATTATTGCTGTAATGTATTGTTTTCATGTGTGGGGCCCAAGTTGCAACCTCCAGGCCTGAAGATGAAGACAAAAAATCTGCAGTTCCTGTATTGGCCTCTTGAAGATGGCTCAAGCGAGTTAATCCCCATAGAACGCCCTGTTTTAAATGTCCAACTTTATAGCAGACATCAACATGTTTAGATCCTGGTGCAAAAAACTGTTTTGGTCTCAGTAGCTAATTTCCTTTTTATGACAACTGTATAAAGGTTGAGTTTTTATGTAACTCACCCATTTAGATTGGATAAATGTTTAAATTATGCATAATTAAGGGTATTGCTGCTTTGAGTGAAAGATGCTTACCTTTACAGAAAGGTTCAAGGCCCAGAGATTTTTTTTAATGGCTGGAGTCACCACACACAGCTTTAGATCCACTGTTCATGAAACCTATGGGTGACATCACAGAGTGTTTGTCGGTCTTCATATACAGTGAGTGACGGGAGATGTGATAGACATTGCATCCAGTGAATTCACACACATTAACGCATCGTCAGAAGCGGCGAAGAACACAGCAAACTAGTAAACATCTACCTAAAATGTCATGAAAAAATGGCTTTGCAAATTTGTGATAAAGGGAAAGGGGGGCAAGGTGGCAGAAGGTGCAAGAGGGACATTAAATCTGGCACATGCTGACCTAGTGTGCAAACTAACTAAATAGCAACAGTTTTTTTTTCCAGAGCGGCAGACTCACATTCATGGTTACAATGCAGATAGAAGCTGCAAGTAATCAGTTAACAACGTACATTGTCATAGTATGTGTAATTTTTGGTTGTGATGGCAGGATAGTGATAGGATACTATATGAGTGAGTGTTCTCATATAGTAAATATTTTGAAAGTGGTTCGTACTTCTTTGTGAACTGCGCAATCACCTTAAGAACCTAAAATGACACCATGATATGCATTAATTGGTTGTGTTTGTCCTCAGAAACTGACCCTACAGACACCAGTAAAGGTAGAGCCTGGACAAAGAATGTTGACATTTAGCTAACTGGCATATTTAATATGTGATAGACCCCCCCCCCATCCCTGTCCCATCCAGTGCACAATCACGAACATGAAATGAACAGGACACACTGGGATAGTGTTGTGTGGATCAGTCAGAGCCACTTTGGTTCCCATTTACAGAGCCAGGGCTGTGGACCAACACCGGATTGTTTTTCAGCCCACACACAGAGCAGACGACTAGCGGACCGTGAGGTGATATTTGCTGAATTGGACAAAAAGTGTATTGGATTAGAATCACACAGCCCACCTTTCAGTCCATGAACAGTACGGGGCAAGGTATCAAGTTGTGGAGTAAAGTCAGCAGAAGAGAGAGAAAAAAAAAACAAAGATGTCAAGTTTGGAGGTGAAACTAAACATACATGATGATGCCACCGCCATGATCTCAACATCAACTGTGCCCAGTGAATGTGCTTTTTTAAATCTTCCTGCATACGTACGTGTATTTCTTGGATATTTAGCCAAGCTGTGAACGCCATATCCAGCTGGGTGACTCCCCTGTTCTTCTGGATTCTCTCCTAGAGTCATACAATCATGCAACTAACTGAGTGCAAAAGTGTAACCACAGACTGGTAAGTGTCAGCTTAACCCCGTACTAGACTTGTGTTTGTGCAGCAGCTGTGCTCTCCAGTGTGGCCTGACCTGCCACACATTTAACCAGCCTGCCTGTCTGCACCCAATCTTGAGAAAACAGTGTAGAGAGTCAGTCTCTCCAATTTAAACTCAACCTGGGCTTAAGAGCAGTCTGTGTCCTCAGGAATTAAAATGGATTGACAGGCTAATTCTCCAAGAAGGGAACACTGACACTGGCTGGTCGCCATGTTGAATTCACTGTTTCTCTCCCACATTAGGCATGCTTCCCCTTGGACTTAATGCGCGCACACACACCGGCAGACACTCACACACTCCTGGCAGTGTCACAAATACTTAGTCTTGGTGGACGGCACACATAAGGACATGTGCCAGTGCTGTGGTGGACCTCCTTCTGTCAAAACAAGTGGCCTGGACCAGTCGGGTGCTTTATAATGAGTCCATAATGCTGCAAGACTCAGCATGGCAGGGTTTGGACTGTACTCTGATATATAATTGTGTCACTGTTCATAATTCTTATTAAATATGAGCTCTGGAGTGACCACACTGCCGCCGAAATACTGCTCAGCCAAAGGTCAGCTTTTAAAGACTAAAGAGGCCTGCAGAGACAGCTTTATCTCTAGGTCAGACCTGAGTCACAAAGATGGTTTAAATAATCTCTGCAGTTTATTTTAGACTGCGTTGGTGCCAAATGGATGGGGTCTGTCATACTGGAAAACACAGAGGCTTCCAAAAAGCAGAAAATGTGACTCCACAGTGAGATAACATTTACACTAGAGAAAAGCTTTGAAGAAAAATGAAATAGTCTGAAGATATACGCCTATGTGAGAGGATGTTTGGAAGTTAAAAGCAGTAGAAATCTCAGTAAAAGAAATGGAGGAGTGGAATTTTAAGTGCAAAAAGCAGCTGAAGTTTAACAGCTGAAAGCATTTTAACATTACATTTCTAGCCCAGTTGAATTGTTCATTTGTATGGAAGCACTGAAAGTAGTTGAAGAGGCAGCTCAAGACTCAAGCTAAAATGTAATTTGACATGTAATCCATTGGAAGCTTAGATGGAGAAAATAACTTAAAATATCAGTTGAGAGGTAAAGAAATTGAAGCAATTGAAATTCCAATTAAAGTTGCTTGGCCAGAAAGGGTGTCTTGCTGATAATCACTAGCGGTTATGTAAGCAGCGATTGCAGTTTAAATGTTAAATTAATCATTTATTAGAAGCTTCTGGTGTCTCCTCCATGTTCCATATCAGATTTGTCCTCCTCCCCTCCACTTGCCGCTATCTGCTGCAGCTCCACACATGTACTGCGGCCGGATGAAAATGCCACAGGATCCACAGAGGAAAGAGGACGTGTCAGCGTGAAATAGCACGGAAAGGGGGGAAAGCATCAGCTGTAAATGACGAAAAAGAGACTCCGGTACCTGAGGTTTTCCCTTTTTTCCCCCCCAACATGTAATCCAAGTTTTGCATGTGGAATCAAGTCAGATAAAGATGGAATAATATCCCTCAGCTGTTTACGTAAAAGCCTCTAAATGTTACATGCTGCTTTCATGGGTATTATTTGCTTTTGTGGGAAATAAGAGGGAAAACGTGTTTAGGAAAAGAGCTGATTTTTATCTATTTTTAAGTGTTCGTTTCCCCTTATGGACAGAACATGCACGGTGCCAGGGGATGGAGCTGAAGCGTCGTCCACCAGCATCCCTGTGATCACATCTCCTGTGTGCATGTTGCATCTAAAGGGGCTATTACATGATGCTTGTCTTCCTGTTTGTACGTTTGAAACTGTCTGTAGGCAGGGAACTGTTTGATGTCTCTCCTTTTTGGTCCTTCACCAAGTTAATCTTTCTACTTTGCACGCAAGCTTTGTTTCATTGTACCCGTGGGTGAATGTAAACACTGCCTCTGCCCACAGTATGTAGTATGTGTGTGTGTTTTTATGTGTTTACTCTTGTTGGCCCTCGGCTGTGTGGGTTGATTGTTTGGATTGGCTCGCCATAAGGACAGTGTGAATTTACATGTTTGTTTTTTTTATACTCTCTCATGCTCACTCCTCTGTCCAACCGCTGCATGTACATGTGTGTTGTTTGTTCCATTGTGATGTAGACGTGTATTATAGGCGCATGTTTGTACTGGCACCCACGCTGGGCCCCCCAGACCAGCGGAAGCTCCCAGGCAGAGGAAGTGCCGGGCTCCTTTGTGAACAAGGCCCCCTCCCGGATTAAGCGTATCGCACCCTAAATGCAGGCCCTTTCTCTTGGGGATTATCTAAAGGCCAGGGGGGCGCCTACTCCCACTGGGGCCCTGTCACCCAAATTCAACACTCTGTCACTGGACCGCTCCCTAGATCTCTCGCTAGGATACAGGACATGAGGGGAGACATTGTCCCCCCAGAGACAAAGCTAAAGTGATTAGCCTGAGTTATTAAGGGACCATAGAAAATGCATTTTGACATGGGGCTTCGAGTTGATCCCACTCGCTGTTGGACACGGTGAAAATATTCACAAGCGTCAGGTTGTTGTGTACATATGTTTAGGGATTCCGAAGCCAAGCATAAACCGTTTAAGCTCTGTTGATTTATTTGCAAAATGTTTCAAATTCATTGCATGTGTGACACTACTGTGGCAGTAATGTGCACTTCATCAGGACATAAAGGAGAAAACAGTAGAATAAATAAAGCCCTCTTAATAGATTTGATTTATATTGATGGTCAATTGCTTTGTGAGGCTCATTGATTAAAAGTTACACCCTTTTATTTTTTTTAAAACTGAAATAAGGCTGGACAGGAACCTCAAACAGTAAATCAGATATTTGCTGTGTCTTAACATGTGTTTGGCCAGGTTTCCACTGCAGTGTTCACCAGTGATGGACTGTTGCTGAGTACCTTTAATCACATACTTCCCATAAGTACAGTTTTGAGGTACTTGCACTTTAAATATGGGGATGTAGGTCGCTAACTCGTGATACATCCCCAACAAATTGTGTATTTATTCAGTGCATTGTGGTGCCAGTGAGTGTGCGTATTGTCATTATTATCCAATTTCATTAATTTGTAATTCAATTAACTCCCTGTGAGTTTATTCTTCTTCTTCACTGCAGGTTGTCTGACTTCTATATACTTTACCCTTCAATGAATTGCAGCTGCGCTCACAACCAGCAGCCTTTAAAAATGATTAATGAGCAATAAATGCATCAAGTTTCCCTAAGCTGGCAGCGTGTTGTAACTGGAACGGACTGATGCATAAGTGTTTGTATGGATCAGAAGTAATGTAAAGCATATTGTGAAGGAAAAGGATTTTTTTTTTTTTAAAGTAAAAGCATTGCAAGATAATTCTAAAAGTATTGAGGGGGGAATGCAAT